ATTTGTAATTTAGACAAGTCCACCTTTTATTTTGTAAACGATCAACGATCAACGTAAATAACGCGTAACTTGCTATACATATTTACGAGATACTAGGTTATAACACGTAAAAATCTGGAAACAAATTATTATGTACGCTGTCATACAAATTAAAAGTAAAGGGGGTCCGATACTTATTTCAGGGGAGTGTATTTTTCTTTTCACTCCACAACCTTTTATTTTTTAACAAAATGACCCACAAAGAAGACCTGATATACGCTGCTTTCTTGGTCACATGCAGGAAACGGAGCGTGATGAACTTTCAGATGAAGAGGAGGAACTAGAGGAGAAGGAAAATGCTGAAACTATTCTCCTGGGTTTCCTTTCCCTCTGTGAACAGTGTTACCTTGCTCCCCGAATTTATGATGTTGCCAAGTCTTATGAATGGCGGGAAAAAATTCTTCCAGCATATGATGAAGAAAGATTTAAAAAACTTTTTCGTCTGTCCCGTCACAGCTTTACTTTGGTAGTTGCGCACATAAAAAATAATAATGTATTCATTTCTGAAGGCAATAAACAACAAGCTCCTGTGGAATTACAACTAGCTGTTTTTTTGAGAAGGTTAGGAACTATGGAAGACATCTTTAGCATTGGTTCCCAATTTGGCATTGCTGAGGGGACTGTTATTCTTTATTCAAAGCAGGTTATGAAAGCTTTATGTCATCTCCAGGCTAAATTTGTAAAATGGCCTTGTAGGTAAAAGATGTAAAGCAGTTCATGAGAAATTTAGAAGTTTTTTGGTATACCAAACATAATTGGTGCCATTGATGGAACCCATGTCATTTTAGCCAATGCACCAAAGAAAGATCCAGAAACTTTTTTTAATCATAAAAAGCAGTACTCTATTCAATACCAGGCCATTGTTGATGCTAATGGTATCTTTACTGATTTTTACATTGGTTGGCCAGGTTCTGTACATGATGCAAAGGTATATCTTAATTCAAATTTTTATAAAAGCAAAGCTAATTACAGTCAGACCTCCTTACAATCACCAAGTTCGTTGCACCTCAAAGTGGTGATTGTATAGAGGTGTGACTGTAATATTAATTCGTCCGCCGGACGTCACATATAATACTGGTTTTCCTGTCGCTATAAAGAGAGTTGCTGTAGCAAGCTTCTTTCCAAGTGCATTAGTCAAGTCAAAACAGGAAAAAGTTTGTTGAAATACAAGCACAACTGAAAATGTTAAAGGTAGTAAAATAAAGCTTAACAATACAAATGCAGGGGCTTTGAATAAAACAAACCTGGTCGCTGAAATAACAATTACAATAACAAATTAAAAGGTGGTTTGTAATATTAATATTATGGCAGGCTAACACTAATACTAAGACATAAACTTTGTAATTAACAGATTGGCCCAGTACAAACAGTATATGAACAGAATATGTATAGTCACAAAAAATTTTCTTATAAATAGCGTCCTCTCGTACCGGTGGGAGATTTATCGTCAAAATGTCGTTAAACAAGACGAATATCACGCAATCTACCCACATAAATTTTCAATACAAATCAAGCAATCAAATTGTCTTTATGGCGTTTTATCCTCTGCCTTGCGCGCATTATCTCTGCTTTGCCGGACACCCGTTATACATTGACGACGACCAATATGTAACCGGACCAAGTGGACTAACTACTCGCCAGGGTTCGAACAAACCGCAGCCTCCAGCTCGGATATTAAATGAAGTTTACGACGGG